CTTTACACACACACGTACATTTTATCCTAATAAAACATATTTTGTAGTTTAGTTTCTATGATATCACGCTTTATTTAACAGATTTTCAATATTTCTTTTGAGCTAAAACACATTCATTTAGATGTTTTCCTCTCTTTTCTATTGATAAACATAAACCATGAGACATGTTAAAGTCCTGGTCATTAACATTTTCTGTAAAAAAGCTGATTTGATGATTTTCATTCAGTTGTTTCAGTCATTAAGGCGTCCATATCGATTGTTGGAAAAACCTTGTGAATAGAACATCATTTAGCAGCTGTCTTTGAGGTTCTGGCTCTCTAAAATTAATTCACAATTTATGATTTGTGCATTATTTAATTATACTGTTTATTATGAAGATGTTACATGATACAAAAGATTTTAAATTTGCTTTGATTCGGTTTACATTTTGAAGAATTGATCTCAATGTGATCGTTGATAAAGACGTTTTTACACATTTGAAATAATTGAAAAGACAAAAAGTGTATTTCTCATTGATTTAATGAACAGATTATCAGGAAACAATACACACACATATGAAGCAACAAGCTAATATTTATTCTTTAGAAACATGAAATAAAGAGAGAGAGAAAGGTGCACAGTGAGAGCAGTATCACAGTAAAACCAGCAGCAGAGTCCCAGTGAGTCATTACTGGGAACACTGGTCTCTACTCAGACTCTCTGAGACTGGAGCCTGGGCGCCCTGGGTGGCCTCACAGGTCACAGAGCCCACCTTCCTCCACTGGTCTGCAGAGAGCCTCAGGGTGCTGCTCCAGCTGTAGAGAGCGTCCTTCTCCAGCACCGCAGGGCTCCTGCTCTCCTCCCAGCTGCTGCTGCTGCTGCCGTCCACCTTCCAGGCCAGACTCCAGCCTGAGGGGAAGCCCTTGTTGGCCAGGCACATGAGCGTGGCCTTCCCCTGCTCCAGCTCCTCATTGGAGGGGGCAGCACCGTCAGGGTGGGACGCACATCACCTATAGGAGACACCAATCAGATTAGAGGACAGGGAGCACACAGCTGTCAATCAAACACCACACCCTATAGGACACCTTTAATGTCTGAGAGCTGATTTTCCTTTTTTAGGAGTTTCTGTCAGATGTTTCTTTCTGCTCCACCGGTCACTCACTCACACATTGTTTCACTTCCCTTTAAGAAGCCTCTCATGCACATCAGCACACAGAGAGAGAATCACACAGAATGACCTGAAATATATTTAAACTACATCTGAATCCAATTTAAAACATTACAAACATTCCCCATCAAAATAATCCAAAAACTTTGCAACACATTATTAAAACAGTTTGTAGGTAAAACAAACTAAAACAGAATCAACTGAACACAATCAAATGTTCTTCAAATGAATTCTAATCAGAAAAATAAGGTATCAGAAAAATACCTTAAAGAGTTGTCAGAAAATGAATCTGAGGAAAACATTTAAAACACCTCTCTTTGTTAAACATCAACTTGTTTATGTTTCAGTGTGACAGAAATCAAACTGTCCTGAGTGAACCATCACGGTAAAGCAGGACCGATAAAAACATGATAAGAGTTCATTAGAGTTAGAGTTTAACGATGACAAATAAACAGAGAGACAGCTGCTGAACACAAACACATGAAGATATATATTAGACATACATATAAATAATATCTGAATAAATCTACTTTGTAGTTTTGTCAGTGTTTGAATTGTAGTAGCACTGATTTGATATCTCTCTATGCTGATGATATCACGCTTTATTTAACAGATTTAAAATATTTCTTTGAGCTAAAACACATTCATTTAGATGTTTTCCTCTCTTTTCTTTTGATAAACATAAACCACTAGACAATTTAAAATCCTGGTCATTAACATTTTCTGTAAAAAAGCTGATTTGATGATTTTCATTCAGTTGTTTCAGTCATTAAGGCGTCCATATCGATTGTTAGAAAAACCTTGTGAATAGAACATTATTTAGCAGCTGTCTTTGAGGTTGTCAAAGTGTGATTTATGTGGATCAAATATAAAAATCTGTATTTTAACATTAGGTTTAATATTCATACAGAAACTTACTTCCAACATCCAGTCTGGTTCCTCCACCAAAAGTCCACCACAGTGGTACAAAGTCATTGAGCGGCCGTACAAAAACCTCTCACTGTAGAGACACACGGCTCTCTGACTTTAACACACTGAACTCAAACTACCACAACTCCACATGTCACCTTACCATGAGAGTGAAAATCATCTATTTCCCAACAAATAAAAACTCTGGCTTCAAACATTTTACCTTCATTTAAATTCAGTCTGTGTTTCTGTTTTAAACTGAAATCCTTTAAAGTCAAATGTTGTCTTTATTCTTTCTAAAACAAACGATTTAAAAGTTAAAGGTCAGTATTTTCTTTTCCTCCAGGCTTGAATATGAAGACAAAAGACACCAGAATAACTTACTGATTGAATGAAAAGCTGAATATGTGACTTACTTCCAATATCCAGTCTGGTTCCTCCACCGAACGTGAGCCACAGTGATACAAACTGATGGAGTCGTCGTACAAAAACCTCTCGCTGTAGAGACACACGGCTCTCTGACTCTGACACAAACACAGACACCTCAATGAGTCTCTGCCTGCAAGACCTCTGAGACCAAATGAAAACAGAATCTAAAAGATTATAACAGATTAAAGAATGTCTTTCTTTGAGATATTTAAATCTTTGAATTATTTTTAAATCATTTTCTCAAGAATATTATTAATTACAACTCCTGATTTATATCAGGATAAATGTTTCTAGAAGCATGAACATGAAATCATATTAAAGTTGTTTTGAAAGTTTTCTAATGAATTGTATAATTAATTGATTGATTGATAAACAGAGTAATGAGAGTGATCCCTGTTGGAGTCAGTCAGAACATTTCCATAGAGAGCCACTTTGCATCAGCAGCACCATGCTCCAGTGCTCTGGGAGACTTTATAGTCCTGACAGTTGAACACTGGATGACTGACAGCTGTCCTTCATCACAACAGAAATCCTCGTCCTCATCATCAAAAACATGACTTTGATGTGCGTCCTCATCTGGACTCTCCTCCTCTGCTGCTGCTTCACAGGTAAAGTCCAGAGAATCAAACTCCTCTCCTCTATGAACATCCGTCCCTCTGAAATGAAGCCCACTAAACCCTGATGCTGCTTTCTGTTTTTGTCTCTGTATCCTCAGAGTCCAGAGGACAGGTCACAGTGACTCAGCCTGCAGCAGTGACTCTGCTCTGGGAGCCTCCGTCTCCATCTCATGTAGACCAGTCAGATGTTTATGGCAGTACCTTTAGCCTGGTACCAACAGAAAGATGGAGGAACTCCTAAACTCCTCATTTACTATGCTAGCACTCGAGCATCAGGGATTCCAGATCGTTTTTCAGGCAGTGGATCAAACTCTGCCTTCACTCTGACCATCAGTGGAGTCCAGACTGAAGATGCAGCAGTTTACTACTGTCAGAGTTTCACTATCAACAGTCAGATGTGTTCACACAGTGAAAAAGCGTCGTACAAAAACCTCCCTCAGTCAGACTGAACAGAAACTGAACTGACTGCTGCAGCTGGAAGTTTCTGCAGAGACTGACACACTTCACTGAGGACACACACACACACACACACACACACACACACACACACACACACACACACACACACACACACACACACACACACACACACACACACACACACACACACACACACACACACACACACACACACACACACACACACACACCACACACACACACACACACACACATATCATTTTTCTAATACTTTAACAACTTTCCTGAACTCTTAACGCACCAACACACCTACAACACACAAATGGCAAAACGGTTAATTTCATGCTCAAAATCACACATTGTAAACTAAAGTCCAACACTCATTTTCAAAATAAAATAATACACTCACACACTACACCATGTCCACCAAAACACTGCAAACATGTCTCAAAATAAAATCATTCTTCCAAAACACCAACACATGTCCTCTTCCAACATAAACATGTAATCACAGCACAATGTCATAAAAACATCAGATGGAATTACAGGAACTACATTATTTTATGTGTCAGATCTGCCCTTATACAATACACATATTTGATCATAGATTGTGTTTAGCACTGCATTTTCTTTACATTTTGTTTTGTTGGGTTTAGTAAATGCATGCATTTTATTTCTTTGGCTGCAGAAATGTAATACAAAAAAGGAATGACCCATTTCAGAGTAAATGTACTGTTTATGAAAAAAGAAGACAGAGACAGAATTGCTACAGTAAAGGCTTTATCTGCAACAGGACATTACTGCAAGATAACAAAAATATACAGTATAGCTGCCATATATTGTAATATTGGATGTGAAAATACAAAATATACAAACAGAAAAAGCCACAGAAGAATAAAGAAAGAAAAAAAAGTCCTCTTCTAATCTGCCCGGTCTTCTGCATTTGGTCACGTTCTCATCCACATCACACCTGATATCTTCTCTGGCAAGGCATCTTGGGAAGAATCTTCTGGCATGCCTTATCCACCCCTGGCAGTGTTCAGCTGTGATGTCTTGACATGCAGCATCCATTGCATCCAGGAGGGACATTTGGTCCTGTGGGCGACGCTCAAAAACCTTCCATCTCCAGGCTGAGAAAAACTCCTCAATGGGGTTGAGGAAAGGAGAGTAAGTGGCAAGGAAAAGGGACATCGTCCTCAGAAGGGTGTCAAACCCGGCTATGACTGCACAGGAATGGTGGAATACCACATTTATTGGAAAGTGGTCTCCCACCTGTCCCCTTTCTGCCTCTGCCACCAGTCTTTTGTGCAGGTCGTCTAAAAACAGGAGAAGGTGGTCAGGGGCCAATCTCACATTTATGCAGGAGTGTACCATTTTTGGAGATTGCGGCGCACATGGTGATGTTGGCTCCTCTCTGGCCCAGGACGGTTACTGTGGCCCTTTTGCAAATTATGTTTCTTCCACGCCGACGCCTTTTCGCCAAGTTGTAGCCAGCCTCATCAATGTAGATCATTTCATGTGGGACTTGATTGGCCTCTATCTCCATGACTCTCTGACAGTAATCAGACACAGTGTGTGTAAATGCTTTGCTGTAGACCTACTGTATGTCCTCCTGTACTCCAGGTTTATAGAGTAGTTTACTGCAAACACACTATGTATAGTACAGTAATGACTGTATTGCATAACCTTACCTGGATGTATTGGTGACAGAGTTCTTTGATGCACTCGCTGTTTATTTCAAAATGAACTTTGTACACTGTAAGCCCGGATGAGTTGAATTTACTTTAAAAATTTGAAGAATGTAAGCAATGTATAATGAAAACTTGAGTGAATTTAACTTAAGTTTTTAAGCACAACAAACTAAACGCCAAGTTGATTTAACTTAAAATCTTTTGTAATGTCAATTGCTTTGCATAATTATTACACTTATTATGTTAAGCCCATTGCACTGAATCACAAGTCGGTTTTACTTCAAATCTTTTGTAAAATTAAATTAAGTGTTACGGTTAGTACAAATTCTGGACCCAAAAGCACGACTCAGACAGGCAGGATAAAGTTTACAAAAAGATTTATTTCCAAAACGTGACTCCAAAAGTTCAAGGGGGAGGGGTAGTGCGAGGTTCCAAGTGGCAGTGTCCGTGATCCCAGTGTGGTGTCCAAAAAGCACAGGTGAGGTGAAGCAAAACACGAACAGCGATCTGGCGCAAGGCAGAGAAGAAAAACCAGGTGAGCTACACAAGCTATAACACGAGAACTAGTCATCCAGAGAAGCCAAGAGAGTACAAACCACACGAGCTGGTGAAACAATCTGGCACCGAGGTGAAGCAGAAGGAAGTCTTTGTAGTCGAGATCCTGATGACCAACTAGCTGCACCTGGCGCCGCCTGAGAACATGAACCCCCCACCAAACTCACACAGACAGGGGAGAGACACATGAGGATTAAACAGACAGGGAATGACAAACAACACCACAAAAAGGGAAGGGAGGGCTGCCATGATGTGAATCATGACAGTACCGCCCCCTCAACGACCACCTCCAGGTGGTCTACCTGGCTTGTCATGGTTTCTCTGATAAAACTCCCTGAGGAGTGCTTTGTCCAGAATGAGCCCCGGGCGATCCAGCTCCTCTCCTCAGGCCCGTAACCCTCCCAGTCGGCGAGGTATTGGTAACCACGCCCCCTGCAGCGAACGTCCAGTATCCGCCTGACCGTATAAGCAGGGTGCCCATCAATGAGCCGGGGCGGTGGAGGGGCGACGGAAGGAGGGCACAGAGTGCTTGCAGACACTGGCTTAATTGAGAGACGTGGAAGGTTGGATGAATCCTGAGAGATTGAGGGAGCCTGAGGCGAACAGCAGAAGGGTTAATAACAGTCTCTACTTCAAAAGGCCCAATAAACCGGGGAGCGAGTTTCTTGGAGGCCACACTGAGAGAAATGTCTTTGGAATTCAGCCAAACCTTTTGACCCGGTCTATACACAGGAGCAGGTCTCTGCTGCCGGTCAGCCAACCTCTGATTCTGTTCACGGGTTCGCAGGAGCGCAGCTCTGGTCTCCCTCCAGACTCTGCGATCCTGCGCAGGTTGTGCTGAACCGAAGGTACGGCGATATCGACCTCCTGGACTGGGAAGAGAGGTGGTAAATAACCCAACGATGCTTCGAATGGTGTCATACCTGTAGCCGCAGAGGTCAATGAGCTCTGGGAATATTCCACCCAGGTGAGCTGTGTGCTCCAAGAGGCTGGATTACGGGCACAGACACACCTCAGCGCCGCCTCTAAATCCTGATTAGCCCTCTCAGTTTGTCCATTGGTCTGGGGGTGGTGACCCGATGACAGGCTTACAGTCGCTCCCAGTGCCCGACAAAACTCCCTCCAGACGTGAGAGGTGAACTGGGGACCCCTGTCCGACACGATATCCAAGGGGTTGCCATGGATGCGGAAAACATGGTTCACCACCAGATCCTCAGTTTCAGCAGCAGAGGGCAGTTTAGGAAGGGCCACGAAGTGCACTGCCTTGGAAAAACGATCCACAATAGTTAATAATGTGTCGTTACCTTGGGAAGTGGTAGGTCCCGTCACAAAATCCAAAGCTATATGAGACCACGGGCGGCCAGGCACTGGGAGAGGACGGAGGAGGCCAGCTGGCAGGCGATGAGAAGCCTTTCCTCGGGCACAGACTGTACAGGCCTTGACATACTCACGGGTGTCTGCCGTCATGGTGGGCCACCAGAAGGTTGGCAGGCAAACCGTGATGCGTGACACCACTGAAGTACGTGAGGACGGACAGAAACAGGTACAAACAAACGATCCGCGGGACCCCCACCGGGATCAGGGTTAGTGATGAGGGCGGTCCTAACCAGGGATTCAATATCCCAGGTTAACGAGCCTACCAGGCATGACGAAGGAAGGCTAGTGTCTGAGACTGCAGCTCTATTAATGTCATCCTGAAATTGTCTGGAGAGAGCGTCAGGCTTTACATTCTTACTTCCGGGCCGGTAAGTGAGGGTAAACTTAAACCGGCCAAAAAACAAAGCCCACCGGGCTTGGTAGAGTTGAGACGTTTAGCACTTTGAATGTAAGCAAGCTTTTTGTGGTCAGTCCATACCGTGAAAGGTGTCGCAGCTCCCTCCAGCCAATGTCTTCATTCCTCCAGGGCCAGTTTGACAGCCAGCAACTCCCTGTTGCCAACATCGTAATTCCTCTCCGCCGGTGATAGTTTCTTGGAAAAGAAAGCACAGGGGTGTAATTTGTCATCACCTGCAGCTCTTTGTGACAGGACAGCTCCCACGCCAATATCCAATGCGTCCACCTCCACAACGAACTGGCGAGAGGGATCAGGCTGTACCAGGATGGGGGCTGGGGAGAACCGTCTCTTTTTTTTTTTTTGTACTTTATTTTTCCAAAAGTAAATCACCAGTGTGACAAAATGAAAAGACATACGTAAAGCATACTATAAAAACAAAAACAAAACAATCAGACAAACCAGTCATGGGTATGTAAACCATCCCACTTAAAAAATAATAACACTCGTATATAAATAAGCAATAACAAATAAACAAACAAACAAACACACAAGACAAAACAAAAACCCTGCTGCCCATGGTACGACCCCCGGTTCCACAACTGGGACCGATAACTTCAGATTAAGTTCAAGTAAATACAGTAGTAAGGCAAGGCAGTAGTAAGTAGTAAGCGAGGCAGTAAAAATTCATTCATTAAAAAATGTCTTAGACATAATACATGATTCATTCATACATAATTCATTGTGAAAGCATATTTAGAAATACAAGAAATAGCAATAAAAAAGTAACTGACAGTCGACTGTTTACAAAACATGATGACAATGACATCAACATAAATAAGTATATATACATAAAGAATAACCGCCTCTTGAGTTTCCCAAATGCCTCTTCTGCTGCAGGTGACCAGACAAAAGGAACAGACAGTGAAGTCAATGGGGCTACTACTTGACTATAATTCCTCACAAAACGACGGTAGAAATGAGCAAACCCCAGAAACCTCTGGAGCTGTTTCCTTGAGGTGGGTTGAGGCCAATCCGTGACAGCTTGGACCTTAGCAGGATCCGTCCTCACCTGCCCACTCTCCAGGATGTACCCCAGGAAGGAGACAGAAGCAGCGTGAAACTCACACTTCTCCCCCTTCACATACAGTTTATTCTCCTACAACCTCTGAAGGACCTGGCGCACATGTACCACGTACTCCTCCAGGTTTTGGGAGAAATTCAAAATGTCATCTAGATAGACAAACACAGATCTGTTCAAAAAGTCTCTTAAAACGTCATTCACCATGGCTTGGAACACAGCAGGAGCATTGGTTAGGCCAAACGGCATGACTAAATACTCAAAGTGGCCTAAAGGAGTGTTGAAGGCAGTCTTCCATTCATCGCCCTCCTTTATGTGCACCAAGTGATAGGCATTGCGCAGGTCCAACTTAGTGAAGATAGTGGCTCCATGCAGGGGTTCAAAAGCAGAGTTAATGAGAGGCAGAGGATACTTGTTCTTGATAGTAATGTTGTTTAAGCCACGGAAATCTATGCAGGGTCTCAAGGTTTTATCCTTCTTGTCCACAAAGAAAAATCCTGCACCCAGAGGAGAAGAAGATGGTCGGATAATACCTGAGTTTAGAGACTCTGTGATGTAGTTCTCCATGGCTCCACGTTCCGGGGCAGAGAGGTTGTAGAGCCTGCTTGTTGGTAGAGGGAGCAGTCGTAAGGCCTGTGAGGGGGTAATGACAACGCTCTCTGCTTGCTGAAAACCTCAGCAAGGTCGTGATACACTGAAGGCACAGAGGAAACGTCAATGGGTTCTGGTGGAGCAGCACTGATAATATCAGAACACAGAGGCTGAGCAGACTTTAAACAGGTAGAATGGCAGAAAGAACTCCAGCTAACTATCTTACCGGCAGCCCAATCAATAACCGGATTGTGAATCTGAAGCCAGGGTAGGCCGAGCACTAAGGGAGCATTTGAAGAGTGCATCATGTGGAAAGTCAAACTTTCACGGTAGTTGCCAGCTAACAAGAGAGAAAGTGGCTCGGTCTGATGAGTGATGGTAGTTAGCCAGTCCCCATTTAACGGACAGAGGTGTATCAATGAGATCAGTAATAAGCTGGGCTTCTTTAACAAACATAGAATCGAGGATGTTAGAGTCTGAGCCAGAATCAACAAGGGCCTTAAACTTATAAGAATTACCATTTACAAGTAAGCAAGCGTCTAAGTGTATGCGTCTTCGAGGTAAACTAGGAACTACAGTGCTACTCACCAGAACCTCGTCTGTGACTGGTGAGGTGTTTAAACGCTGGGGGCAGGCAGCAATCATGTGTCCAGAGCTTTTCTTGAAAACGCCTGTTGCGCTCAGCTGGGTTTAGGCGATTCTGTCCCAACTGCATGGGTTCCTCGTTCTGAAAGGGTGCCGTGGAGGAGTTGTTGCTGGGTGGCTTGTTTTTGGGGAGCCAGGAGGACGGTGTAGCAGCAGAACCGGGGACATTAGCTAGGGACTCCTGCCCTCTCTCCCGCCGTCGCTCCCTTAATCTGTTATCCATCTTGATTGCTAGCGCAATTAGCTCCTGCAGGTGTTTGGTTTCAGCTCTCCCCACTAAACAGTCCTTTACATCTTCGTTCAGTCCTTTTACAAAAATGCTTTGCAATGCTCTGTCATCCCACCCTAATTCAGCGGCTAGCGTCCGAAATTCCACGGAGTACTTAGCTGCACTAAGGGA